CTGTCAGTGTTCAAAGGGTGCTGAGGAGATGGGGTGAGGGAAATGCCCAAAAGCTGGATGCTGGTTCTGACTGCAGATCTATCACAAATCACTGACAGTATACTTAAAATAGGTTGAATTTCATGCCATATAAATTGCCACTCAGTAATTTCTTAAAAACAAACAAAAACTAAACCCGGATACTATGTGAGTCCAGAGATTTTTAGTTCTAAATTAAAACTGTGATCTTTACTATCTTTGTAGAGAGAATAGAGTAAAAGCAAAGCAGGGGCGGGGGTGGGGTGGGGAGAGGGGTGGGGGCGGGGGTTAAGTAGTAGTTCCTGCTAAGGTGAGTCTTGCTTAGGTCCCGGGGTCTGGAGCCTGACTTTGCTGGGAAGCTACCGAAGGTCTTCAAGTGGTCCAGCGGCACAGGCCGATGTCAAGTTTAGAACAAGACACAAGTCGGAAAGATGGCAAAGCGACAGGAGACAGGCTAAACACTGAAGAGACTGTGGCAGTCTCGGGTAGAAATCACGGCGTTCAGAACCACGGTGGTGGCCACGGGATAAAGGGCGGCACAGGTTCATGTGCCCTTAGGTGAGCTTGGCAGAGTTTGGCAGCCAAAGTTTTGTGGGTGAGAGATGAGGAGTCAGGGAAGGGTTCCATCGGAGGAGGCGTGGTGGGAGAGGGGCCGACATGTGATGCCTGTCTGTGGACATGCTGGATTAGTGATACCCGAGTGCCATACAGGTGCACATAACCAATCCGCAGGTGCACCCATGATTCTGGAAGAGCCAACAAGTGATGAGGGCCTTGTGTATCAGAAGCGTGTGTGTGTGTGTGTGTGTGTGTGTGTGTGTGTGTGTGTGTGTGGTGGAGGCTGAGGATGGGACCCTGGGGCATCAGCAATGAAGGGCAGAGAGAAGAGGAGGAAGTAGGAAAGAAAAATGGAGATTAACGTGGGGGAGGCAGTATGTCAGAAGACCATGACAGGAGAGAGAGGAGGGCCGGAGAAGTCTCCAGGAAACAAAGACTGGGAGGTGTCACTCACCGCTTTGGGCTGCTGACCTCAGCAGTGGTTAAGGAGAAGGAAGTGTGGATTTAGAAACAAACACATGCACGGAGAAGGAAGTGGAGACAGAAATGAGCTGACTGGCTGGAGATGGCTGAGACACACAGGAGGAAGCCAGGGCTGCTGCTGGAGGGGGAGGCTTCATGCCTTGGTTCTTAGGATGGGAACGTCAGTGTACTTGTAGCCTAAGCCAGTAAGGGCAGAAGGTTGGGCTGCGGGTACAGCTCAGTTGGTAGAGGGCTTGCTTTTCGTGCAGGAGGCCGTGGATGCTCTCTCCAGCACAACAATAAATAGATAAGCCAATATATAAAATATAAATATATACACAAGTAAATAAGATGAGAGAGAAAGAGACAGAGACAGAGAGACAGAGAGAAATAGACAGCAGAGGACCATGGATGGCAGAGGCTGGCCTGGGCCAAGGTCTCAGTGGGTCCCTAGCAGGACAGTGGTCACTTTGCCCTCTGAGATTGGAGGTCTGGAAGGTTGTGAAGCCTAGGATGACAGGGAGGAGGTTGAGAGGGCTCCCCTGATGCTGGCTTGAATTTTTGTTTGAAAAGAAATTGGAAGTGTGGCATCAGATGTGAAGAGTGGAAAGCTTTAAATCAAGAGTATAACCAGAAGGGCTGGTGGACAGTCAATGCGCTGAGGGGAGTCATTCTTGTCCGTCCGCCGATGCTCATCTCCATCCATCACCTGCTCTGCTTCTAGCTCCCAGGCTGGACCACTTTCTGGACAACAATCTCCATGCCTATGAACTTGGTCCATTTCACCACATCGTCTTTTGTAAATTGTCAACCATACTTTCAAAATCTTTTGCTTTTTCTCTTGCCCCTTCCAGCCCTTTCCCCTCACAGAAGCCAGAGTGATTTTAAAAAGAAGGGGAAAAAAGCTAAACCAGATCATGTATCTTCCCTCCAAAACCATCCAATACTTCTCACTGTAGGGAGATTCACATGCATGACGTGTCCGGCTTTTCCTTGTAAGAGCCAGCCTGATCTGGTTCTGCAGAGCTCTTCTATGTCCTCGTGTTAGACACTTTCCTTTGGCTCTCAAGGGTCGTAGCCCCCCTCCCTGTATGATGCTGTTTTTGCTTGTTTGTTTGTTTTTTGTCTTTTCATATAGTTATCAGAAGCTGTCTTAGTTTTCCACGACTCTAATGAATATCTGAGGTAAGTCAGCTTAAGGACAGGCAAAGTCTGTTTTGGCTACCAGCCTTGCAAGTTTGATCATGACAGATGCTATGATGAAATGGGCCTGTTGCTTTGGGCTATAGGACATCATGGCCACAGCATCCACTCACCTCATAGAGGCCAAGAAGTGAAAGGGGGGAAGGGGCTGGATTCCCATGGTTCCTTTCTGCAGCACACCTCCAAAACTCTAAGATCTTTCCTTAGGTCCTGCCCCTTAAAGGTTCCCCTCTTCACATAGTGCCAAGTGGGGAGCCAAGCCTCTAACACAGGGGTTTATGAGGGGACATTCTAGAGCACACTGCAGAAGTAACTAAAAAAAACTTACACTGTGTGCACATTTTCGATTTCCTAAACCTAGAATAAGAATGCTGGAAGAGGCCGGGCAGTGGTGACACACACCTTTAATCCCAGCACTAAGGAGGCAGAGCTAGGCAGATCTCTGTGAGTTCGAGGCCAGCCTGGGCTACAGAGTGAGGTCCAGGAAAGGTGCAAAGCTACATAGAGAAACCCTGTCTTGAAAAACCAAAAAAAAAAAAAAAAAAAACCCTTGTTCAAAGTGGGCACGTCATGGATTAAATATTGGTTGAATGACCAAACCAAATCCAACACAACTGGCAATGCTGAAAGCCTAAGTGATCTTAGAAAATAAAGCTGCAGCGGATCCAGAACACATGGTTGTGTGATTTTCTTCACCTGGGACCAGTGACAACAGTCAGTTGCCTTATACATCCATTGTAGACACAGTATTAAACAAGTATTTCCGCATGCCAGCCAGGTGGTGGAGGCATCTTTGTGACAAACGGAGGGTTCCCTGAGTAACCCATCCGTGTGTTGACATTCTTAACTCAATTTCTGGAAATCTCCCCTTTTGTAGTCCTCTTGGGTGTGGAAACTGCTGATCCTTTCCAGCCCCAGAGCAGAGGGGCACTGTCCAGGTGAAGTCAGGCTACTGAGCTGGGTCTGGTTTCCTTGGTGACCCAGAAGGCTCAGTTCTATCTGAAATTGCTAAGGAGCAGAAAAACCTGATAGCTGAGCTGTGTTTTCCTTAGGGAGGGACTGCTTTCCAAGCTCCATGGAGGCTGAGAATGCGTCTCTTTGACTGGTAAGGGCTGCTTCTCACAGCGGGGAGCTGAGCAACATCTCCTAAATGCTCTAAGAATCCCACAGCCAAGTCCAGCAAGTCCATCCCCTGCCAGCCCCAGGTAATTGCATCATGACCCTTCAGGCTTCCCATCAGTTTTGTTTTCGCATGCAAACACTGTAGCCACGGAGACCAGAAGTTTGCTTGTAGAGTGTGCTAACCACCTTTCTTCCGCACCGGGACAACACAAGGGCATGCTGTTTTGTAAATGGTAGGGCAACTCAGTTAACCCCTTGAGGCCTTTTTGCTTCTCAGTTAGCAAAATATGAACTCTAGTATCACTTATTGTCAAGGGTTGTGGGCCAAACACTGTATTAAATATTTGTTGGATGCACGGATGTGTGTGTGTGGTGTATGTATGCACAGGCACATGTGTGGAGGCCAGTGGAAGATGTTGGGGGTCCTGCTGTACCACGCTTTACCCTGCTCCTTTGAGATAGGGTCTCTCAATCTGGAGCTAGGCTGGTGACTAGCAGACTCCAGTGGTCCCTTCTCTACCCTGCAGAGACTGGGGTAATAGATGCACATGGCCATGCTTAGCTTATAGTGTGGTTGCAGGAGCTTGGAACTCGGGTCCTTAGGTTAATGCCACAAATGCTCTTGTCCACTGAGCCCCGGCCCCAGCTCCTGCACTAAATATGTTCTCAAGTCCTCATGTTTATCCAGCAACATTTCACGGCCTGAGCCATCTCCCAGCCCCTACATTTGGGTTTTTAAAAGGCCCCTAACATTGTAGCATGGAGGACAGTGTGGGGCAAAACACGAAAACTGGGACCACCACTGGGATAAATGCTTATTTCACAGTATTACGAAGTTGGTACTAATCATTTCACAGGTTAGAAAGATGAGTGGCCTTTTGTAGTCACTAGTGAGTGGCAGGTTGGGGGTGGGCTTACACCGATGCTGCCTTCAAATTCTGTTACCCCCAAAGACAAGGCTTGCTTGCCGCAATTACCTGATATTCAGAGTCCACCTTATGCTGCATGTCCCGCAGATACTGAACATCACTGACGAACTTCTGCCTGTCCCTTGCTTCATGCAACATGGTTCTTAGTTTCCGATCTACGGAAGAGAGAGAAATAAGCGTACCGTGACAAATGCTTTTGTGAGTCACCATATTTGGATTTCTATGAGTGTGAGTGCATGTATTCTTTTATTAATCTATTCCCCCACTGTTTGGAAGGTACAGACATTCCATTTTTGTATTTGTGTCCAACTCTTGATAGCCTTTTCTGTTCCAGCCATAAATAACGCTCACATTCATCAGAGGACTTCAGTGATCCCTGGTTACTCGCAGGGAGTTAGCTTGACAGACACCTGACTGGGTAGCAGCTCTACCACATGGCAGAGATGAAAACCACCACTCAGACAGATCTTCAGTGACCAAACTTAGAAGTCCTGGGTTGCTTAAATTCTCCTATGTGACCATTGTCCCTAATCCGACCCAGACACTGCCAGCTGCTGGCTCCAGCAGCCAGTCAGGCAGACAAGGTCCCGCCTTTGTGTTACCAACAGTCTAGGGTGGAAAACCAACACTAGACAATTGGACTCTAACTGCCAGTACAGAGCCGGGTGTGGCCTCTTTGAAAGAATGGTGTTGTAGAAGAGCGGAGTCTGACTGGAAGGGGTCAGCCCACAACACTGGGTTTGATAAATCACGAGTCAGGCAAGGGTTGGGAGAGGACAGCAGCTGCCTCAGGGCGAGGAGGAGAGTGAGGACAGGGCAGGGCATCTGGGGCAGATGGTGGGGACCAGCACCAGAATGGGGGGGGGGGCTGGCAGGGATCAGCTCATATGGGACCCTGCAGGTGATGATGAGAAGTCACATGGAACTACTGATAGGTTCTAACCCAGGGAATAAATGGTGCATGGCACATGTGCATGCGTGTGTGCATGTGTGCATGTGTGTGCATGTGTGCGTGCAAGCCAGAGTCTGATATCAGCTGTCATCTCGCCTCAATCACTATTTTATTTTGTCTAGACAGGGTCTCTTACTGAGCTTAGAGCTCACTGATTTTACAAGAATAACTAACCAGAAACTCTCAGGGATCCTCCCATCTCTGCTTGCCCAGGTTTTTAAACAGGTGATGGGATGGTGAGGGGAGGGTTGGTCCTGAATTCGAGTCCTAGTGCTTCCTCCAGCAACGTTTCACTGACTGGGCCGTCTCCCAGCCCTGTACATTGGTGTTTTTAAAAGGCTCCTGAAGTTGTAGTATGGAGGATAGGGTGGGGTAAAACACGGAGTTGTGACCACCGCTGGGATATGAGATGAGGTAGTCACAAGGCTTAGGTAGCAAATGTGTGAGGAGGAAGAAGAGGAGGAGGAAAAGGAGGACAGTGGGAATGGGGGAGGGCCAGAGCTCCCATGGACCAACCTGTGGAGTGCCAGGTGCCACTCTGAGCATCCGCCTATATTAACTCATTTCACCTTCACAATAAAATGCTGCAAGGTGGACCCCATAGTTTCTGATGTAGAGCCTAACTACAGCCTCAAGAGTGTTTACTGAAAAAAGAGGCATCATTCTGACCATCAGGAGACATATAGCTAAGATATGGCTGAGGCTGTTCTCAGTTTTTGCTTCTCTTAGTTAGGGTTTCTATTGGTCTGACAAGACACCGTGGCCATAAAGCAAATTGGGGAGGAAAGGGTTTGTTCAGTTCACACTTCCACATTGCTGTTCATCACCAAAGGAAGTCAGGACAGGAACGCAAGCAAGGCAGGATCCTGGAGGCAGGAGGGGAGCTGCTTACTGACTTGCTTCCCATGGCTTGCTCAGCCTGCTTTCTTATAGAACCCAGGACCAGCAGCCCAGGGATGGCCCCACCCACCATGGTCTGGGCCCTCTCCCATTGATCACTAATTGAGAAAATGCCTGACAGCTGGATCTCTGCTTGTGTTGACACACAAAGCCAGTCAGTATAACTGACCCCTTATCAACTTGACACACAAAAACATCACTATTAAGCTACAGCCCTTCCTTTTTTATTCATCCCCAAGATCTTACATTAAAAACATAAATAACTTTAAAAGTCCCAGTCTTTACAGATTCAAATACATTAAATTTCAGTCCCTTTAAAATAGCCAATCTCTTTAGAATCCAAAATCTTTCAAATTTCAAAGTCTCTCAATTGTGGGCTCCAATAAAATACTTTTACTTCAGCCGGGCGGTGGTGCGCACGCCTTTAACCCCAGCTCTAGGGAGGCAGAGGCAGGTGGATCTCTATCAGTTCGAGGCCAGCCTGGGCTACAGTGAGTTCCAGGAAAGGTGCCAAAGCTACACAGAGAAACCCTGTCTTGAAACAAACAAACAAACAAACAAGCAAACATCTTTTACTTCAGAGAGAAAAAAAATCAGGGCACAGTCACAAACAATTCAAAGCAAACCAAAATCCCAAACGCCCAATGTCTGGGTTCTACTCATGATCTAGACTTGGGCTTGGGTCACTTCTCCAGCTCCGCCCTCTGCAGCACACACAGCTAGCTGTCTTCTGGGCTCCAGCTGGCTCCAGTCCACTGCTGCTGCTGCTCCTGGTGGTCATCCCACGGCACTGGCATCTCCAAAATGCTGGGGTCTTCTGCGGCAACTGGGCTGCGCTTTCCCCAATAGCCTCTCATAGACTCTCTTCACGGTGACAAGCCTCAGCTTTTTTGCATGGCCCCTTCGGTCCTGGGCCTTCAACTGAGGCTGCACCTTCACCAATGGCCTCTCCTGGCCTCTTCAGTGTCAAGCCTCAGGCGCTCTCCATGACCCCTTCATGCCTTCAAAACCAGTACCACCTGGGTGACTCTTACACATTACCAAGTCCGGCTGCCAGCACAAGGTACAACCTTGGCTGCTCTGGAACACAGCTTCTCTGTGTTCTCAGGAAACACTTCCCAGAAGATTTTCCAGTCTCTCTCTCTCTCTCTCTCTCTCTCTCTCTCTCTCTCTCTCTCTCT